TTTTGTCAGAGTCACCTCATTTCTGTCCATAAATAAATTATTAAATGATAATCAATATGGCTACAGAGCACAGCATTCAACTGAGCAAGCTGTGCTGCAATTAGCACAAAATGTTATGAATAATCTTAACGAAAAGATACTGACTGTAGGTGTATTCATAGACCTCTCAAAGGCCTTTGACGTCATCAACCACGATATACTGATTAAAAAATTAAATTCACATGGAATAAGAGGAAAAGTAAGTGCATGGTTCAAAAGTTATTTAGAGAACAGAGACCAGTATGTGGCAATAAAAAGTCACTCCTCAACAAAACTTAACGTAAGATCAGGCGTGCCACAAGGATCAATTTTAGGTCCTCTTCTATTCATAATCTTCACGAACGATTTTCAACATGCAACTGATGCAAATCACCTTCTATATGCAGATGACACTAACATCTTCTTCCCAACTAAAGACCCATTGAAAGAAGTAGAATACATCAATAACAGTCTTCAAAATATATCAACCTGGTTTATCAAAAATAAATTAATAGTAAATTATTCTAAATGTAATTACATTATTTTTGGTCCGAAAATTTTAACAAATATTATACCTAACCTAGACATAAAAATGAACAATATTTCTATTCCTCGCTCAACCAGCACAAAATTTCTTGGAGTAACAATCAAGGACAATTTTTCTTGGGATATTCACATAGATACTATGTCTAAAAAAATATGCAAAACCCTAGGAGTTATAAGCAAAATTAAAAATAAATTAAATAAACCTACTCTAATTGACCTGTATTATTCGTTAATCTTTCCTCACCTCATCTACTGCAACGTAATTTGGGGAAACAGTCCTGACATTCATCTAAAACAGTTAACAAAATGCCAAAACCGATTCATCAGAATATTTAAAAATCTTCATCCTCATTGTCCCACAAGTGAATATTATCTCGAGATGAAAATACTCAACATCAAAAACTTGTTCATCTACCACGTTGCAACATTCATTTTTAGATTTTTACGTCAGCAATTGCCGGCATTTTTTCGAAACTTTATCACTTTTGGAACTTCCATTCAAGCAAGAACTACACGCCACACGCCACTTTTCTATGCTCCACCAGCCAGAATTAAAGTACTCTGCATGAGTTTGAAACACACCGGCCCAGGAATATGGGAGACGATTCCACAAGAAATTAAAGATTGTAACACTTTGCATCTTTTTAAAAATAAGCTGAAAAATTTTTTAATTACGAAAAGTTCTGTTTTTCAAGGATAATAATGTATATGTATATATATATGTATATAAGTGTGTACATATTTCATTAACATTGATACATTTTCTCCTATTGACAATTTTATTTTATCATTGAGAAGCAATTTTGAGCTGCACGGTGGCCGAGCCCACAAGAATTAATTTTTTTTTTTGGTCTCCGAATCATTCATGCTTTTGTTTTGTTTGATTGAATAAAAGTGATTTGATTTGATTTGATATCATAAAAGATGAAAAATCATGGCGTTCATCAGCCACTATTCATCCTCATCTACTTAACAATAACTTCAACGTAAAATATGTGCGTCGTGTTGAATCGTGTGGCGTCGTGTTGAATCGTGTGGCGTTGTGTCGTGTGGCGTCGTGTCGTGTCGCGTGGTATGAATATAAAACTTTTGTAGCAGAAACATATGTAAGTGTTTGTAAATAAAGAAAAATATGTACTAAAGCAGCCCTACGTTTGTTAGAACTGCATAATAATAACGCACACACACATACACACATGCACACACACATGTACACACACACACATTCACACACACACACATTCACACACACACACACACACATCCAGTCATGCAAACATGGCATGAACAGGCATGACAGCCAACATTTCAATTAAATTCAGCATAACTGCAATGGACGGTTTGCTGAATGTTTTCTATCGCAAAATGATAATACCATTATTTCCAAAATAATGATTGGTCAGTGCGGTAGCGCACATGTATGCGTGTATGTATGCTTTTGTATGTGTGTATGCTTTTGTGTGTGTGTTTGTGTTTGTGTGTGTGTGTGCGTTTGTATGTGAAATATTTGAAGTTATGTGGTGTATGTGTATAAGTATATTGGAAAATATATGTGTTTATGTGTGTGTGTATAAGATATGTAAGATATTCTGTGTGTGTGTGTGTGTGTGTATGTGTAAGGTATTGTTAGTGAGGTGTGTGTGGCTTGCGAAACGTAACTGCCAGTCGTGTGTGTGGTGTGTCTATGGTCGCCAGCCGCCAGTTCGTCTCTACGATGGTCTCCCATACGAACGCACCTGCCTGCATTCATTTGAATATTTTTTGCTACGGAAACCCAGTCGTCATCATCTTCCTCCTTCTCGTTATTATCATCATTATTATTATTGTCATCATTGCTATTTCATCATCTGCATTGTTGTTATTAACATCGTCGTCGTCGTCGTCATCACCATCATCATCATCACCATCATCACCATCATCATCATCTGTTTCGTATAATAGCGTTCATTTGGCGGATCTCCGTATGGGATAGAAAAAGAATGATGATGATGACGATGATGACGATGACGACAATGATGATGATGATGATACAGATGAAGATGATGACGATGATGATGATGATATTGATTGTGGTATCATGTTGGTGAAAAATAATTATAACAGAGGAAAGAACCATTGCAATGGGTAGGATGAAGATGATGACGACGATGATGACGACGATGATGAGGATGATGATGACGATGATGATGACAAGTTCGTTGACGTTGACAACAACTGTATGTGTAAACATTTTTACATCTAGTCATGCAGTATCGCTGGCTGGGGAAGTATTCAGTCTCACAGTAGTTCCTCATTAGAGGGTTCACTACTCATTGCTGCTACTGATGTTGATTCAATGTTGATTTGTTTGTGGTATGTATGTATGTATGTATGTATGTATGTATGTATGTATGTATGTATGTATGTATGTATGTATGTATGTATGTATGTATGTATGTATGTATGTATGTATGTATGTATGTATGTATGACTAGATTATACATTCATACATACAAACAAACATACTTAGAAATAAACGAATATACTTGCATGCATACATGTCTTCATACACACACAACACGGTTATCGATTTTTTCTTGTCCATAGTTCCATGTAGTTCCCTCAATCCATTTCTTTATCCATTCATTCCTTCATCTATCCGTCTCACCATCTATCTATCTGTCCATCCATTTGTCCATTTCAACTGTCAACTTATCTATTTATCCATTCATTCATCCATTCATCTATCCATCCATCCATTTATCGACCAAAAAGTTTGTATAATTTGTTTTTTGTTTTTTTTCCAGTTACTTTCGTTCTGTTCATTTTAAAAACCAAAAAAAAATTCAACATCTTTTGCTAACGATAAGAAAATACACAAACAAAAAACAAATAAACAAACCCATACACAAACACACAAGCACATACACACACACAAACACATACATATATACACACACATACACATGCATACACATATACATATTGTGGATGAACTATGTTATGTTATAAACTATGTTATAAACACACACACACATACAAGCACATACACACACACACACATACACCACACACACACACACACACACACACACACACACACACACATACATACAAGCACATAAGCACTTTCTCGCATGCATGTACGATAAACGACGCCAAAACATCGCGTGTCATTTATGAGAAAAATCGGCTCCTTAATTTACTAAACGAGTTCATTTTGCACATACATGCACAAAAACGTACGCACACATACACACGCAAACCTTTAAACACACACACACTCACACACACACGCACGCACAAACAAACAAACACAAACACATACAAACCCAGACCAACTATTATAATATGCACGATTATGTATAATATTAAAAAAAAACTTTTCACCTTACTTTTACATCTTTATTTTCGTCATCATCATCACCATCATCATCACCGCCATCATCGTCATCATCACCACAATCATCAACATCATCATTGTCGTCGTCGTCACGATCATCATGTTTATGAAAAACATAAGCAAACACAAAGTTAGACAAACAGACGGACAGACAGACGGACGGACGGATAGACAGACAAAAAACATGCATGCACAAACAAACATGCACGCACGCACGCACAAACAAACAAACAAACAAAAAACAAGTAGACGTACGAAGCAAGAAAAGAATAACACCGTCAATGTTTGACGTCTAAAATCGAATAACAAAGAGTGCTAATGTTTCTAGGCAGACGTGTCGTTACATACATTAATGTCTCTCAGCTTCACTCACTTTTTCATTTAACTCTTTCTCTCTCTCTCTCTTTCTCACTTTCTTTCTCTTTCCATTTTTTTTAATTTTTTTGTCTTTCAAGAATTTCTTTTTACTACCCATTCAACATTTTTTTTATTCGTTTTATCATCGCCACTGTTCTTTTCCATTTCCTCCTCTCTACACCCTCTCTTTCTTCTGCTCTCTCTCTCTCTCCCTCTCTTTCTCTTCCTTTTTGTATCCTATATAATATATTATAATAAAAATCATGCCCATAAAATGAACAACTATGCCTTCAAATATTCGCAGGCGCGCACACAAAAACAGAAAGGGAGAGAGAGAGAGAGAAAGGAAAAGAATAAAAAAAAGAGACAGAAAAAGAGAGAGAAAGAGAAAGAGAGAGAGAGAGAGAAAGAGAAAGATACAATCTCAATCGAAAATCATTCAAATAAGTAAAAGCCTCGAGGAAAGAATATCAACAGTGCTCATAAAGTGTTCGGTTAGTTTATTTCATGATGGATATTGTTGGGGAACACCTAAACTGCCCTATACCAGTTATAGTGTGTTGATGTGTGCGTGTGTTTGTACTTGATCTCTATCTCTCTCTCTCTCTTTCTCTCCCTCTCACTCACTCACACACACACACACATTTTCTTTCTCTATGTGTCTCTTTTTCTCTCTACATGTGTGCGTGCGTGTGCAGGTGTGTGTATTTGCGTGTGTGCGTGTATGATACATGAGTTTGTATAATTTTATGTACTTCTTCTAAGAAGTAAGAAGTTATGACACGAAAGTTTCTTATGAAGGAACGTGCAAAAGGTAAGGTAAATAATAAATATTTACGTTTATTCATTCTGTTTCGTTCATTCATTCATTCATTCATTCATTCATTCGTTCGTTCGTTCGTTCATTCGTTCGTTCGTTCGTTCATTCGTTCGTTCGTTCGTTCATTCATTCATTCATTTATTGTCATTCGTCCATCTAACTTTTTATTCAATCATTCATTCAAACATATTTTTATTTATTTATATTAAGATATTCACATCTAGGTTACAAAAGTTGAAATAATTATATACGATTTTTTATACGATTATTCAAGTATTTTTATGATGACAATATGAAAAACACACACACAGACACACACACACGTACAAACACACACACAAACACACGCAAACACACACACACTTGTTCTTATTATATTACAGATTTAATTTCGTATCTTAATAAAATAATGCTATTCTAATTAGCCAATAAAACGTTTGCAATATATATCATCATTTGCCCGCTATCTTCGTTTGTGTTTAAAATTTTCCATTAAAATTATTATCGATTCGGTCTAGCTATCACGCACACGCATTCACACACAGACACACACCAATAGAAACGCAACACACACACACACACGCACACGCACACACAGATATACATACACATAAGAAACACTCACACATTCACACACACACATGCACACACAAACACATTTATGTAAACGCCAAAATTGTTTGATAAACTAAAATGACCACCATCTAGTATGTAATTCAAATGCATTTTCTTTGTTCTTCTAACTAACAATATCATCTCATTCAATTCATTTTGATAGAGTTGGTCGTTGCGAATTTCTGCAATAAATCTTACAAACTGCAAACATGACAGGGTCGTGCTCTTTGCAAGTTTCTAAGAATGACATTTGATATTGAATGTTTTGTATATCTATTTTGATATTATACCAGATGGATTTGTATCTGTTCTGGCATTGTATCATACAAATCTGTATCCAATTTGGCATTGTATCGTACAAATCTGTATCCAATCTGGCAATGTATCACACAGATCTCTATTTATCCTGAATGTATCACGTAAATATTTTTGTTATATCTATGTTGATGTATCATTGAATGCGTATCTATTTTGATGGTGTATCGTTGTGTAGTGAATTGTGTTTAATGATAAGTTTCAGAATAAAGAGGAATTATTTTGTAGGGGTCGTTTAAAACCACAAACGTTAAAATGATGATTGTTTGTAGCAGTATTTTGGGAATAGTAATCTAGGCAGTCTGTATCAACTGATAGAGAGGCCATTCATTCACATGACTCAAAAAACTGAAATTTTTGAAAAAAAAATATATAAAAACTTGAACAAAATTTGGTTATTAAAAATGTAGGAAATGATTGAAAATTGCATGTTGCCATCAGTTTTGCCGCTATTGCTTGTATTAGATGGGTAGTATAATTGATTGATTACCACTCAATACACGCACGCACACACAAGCACGCACACACACATATACCCTACATATACATTCAAGCACATTTTAAAATTTTGTTTTATTCCTGTTTAAGTTTTAAACGAATGTCAACAGTTGGATTACCGCGGTGCTATTTCATCGGTCCCATAGGTGTGACTATACGATGACGTCATCATCATCAACATTTTATCTTTCATCAACATCATCGTCCTCGTTATCACAACATTGATAACATGCATCTTTATCATCATCTTTTTTTTCATCATTATCATTATCATCATCCTCATCACCATTATTGCCATCATCATCATCATTATCAGCACCATCCTTCTCCATTGTCATCATTATCAGGCACAACAACAGCAACAACAACAACAACAACAGCAACAGCAACAACATTTGCTCATGCCCCAACATTATGTTAGATCAATAAAAAAATATATTGCGTAACCACACAAATAATAAAATAAAACACAACAAACCAATTATAAAATAATAAAAGTTATATTAATAGCAATTATAGTAGTAGTAGTAGTAGTAGTAGTAGTAGTAGTAGTAGTAGTAGTAGTAGTAGTAGTAGTAGTAGTAGTGACAGCAGCAGTAATATTAGTGGTTGTAGTGAAGTAGTAGCGACAGTAGTAGTAGTAGTAGTAGTAGTAGTAGTAGTAGTAGTAGTAGTAGTAGAAGTAGTAGTGGTAGTGGCAGTAGCAGCGTCAGTAGCAGTGGTTTTAATAGTATACATGTACAAGCGAACTCATTCATATACCATATATTAATGATTGATGGATCTATGTATTGATTGATTGGCCAAGTGATTGGCTGACTGGTTGATTAGTTAATTGGTTGGTTGATTGATTGGTTAATGGTTGGTTGGTTAATAGTTTAACTGGTTGATTGATTGGTTAGCTGGTTGGTTGATTGGTTAGCTGGTTTATTGATTGGTTGGCTAGTTAGTTAGCTCAGTTCAGTTAGGGGCTTAATGTTTGGACTTGGGTGTCATTCAAGTGATTGATTGATATTGAAAGTGATAGCAATTAATTTTCTCTCATATAATTCTATTATTAAAAATTCTTGTGAACGTTTTTTCGCGTTTATATCTTTTAATTAATTTTTTTTATAAATTATTTATTTATTATATTATTATTAAATATTTTCGTATATGCTGCTCCAGTAGTTATAAACTACAAACATTAATCACAGAATTAATAGCAATTTTGTATAAACCTCTTTTTGGACTAATGTCAAGATCCTTTCAAAAATATGAAATCATACCATAATTATTACTATTATTATTATTATTATCTCAATTATTACTATTATTTTCACAATTATTATTATTATTATTAGTAAATATTATTTTAAAACGTATTTTGACTACTATATATATATATATATATATATATATATATATAATATATACAATCAATAGCTAACGTATAACCATTATTAATATTATGATTGTTATTATTATTAAGTATTATAAATATTATTCTTCTGATGATTATTTACTGTTACCATACTGTTAACAATTATTATTTTCATTATTACGAAGGAAAAAATGACATTAATAATGATATGATGCTTAGATAGCGAAGTTATAATGGTGAGTTATGCTTTGGTTGTTGTTGCTCCTGTTGTTGATGTTGTTGTTGATGTTATTGTTAGTGTAACTGTTGTAGACGATGTTGTGTTAGAATGTTGTTACATAGTTAAACGATAGTGAAATATGTTTTTTTTGTTATGTAAGTTGTTGATCTAATTTTGGCTGTTGCGTTCTATGTTGTTGTTGTTGTAGTTTTTGTTGACATTTTTGTTGACGTTGGCGTTGTTGTTGTTGATGATGTTGATGCTGTTGATGTTGTGGAGGCTGTTGCTGTTGTTGTTCAGCTACCTACACTAATAAAATTTTTATTGTTGATGTTGTTGTTGATGCCAGGGTATAGCCAGATGATAATGGATTCAATTAATATAAGAAACTGGCAATTGTTATTGATAACATTAATATTATTGCCGCTGTTGTTATTTTTGTTATTTCATCAACTATTATAATTTTTTGATATAGTTATTATTATTGTTGTTATTGTTGTTGTTGTTGTTGTCAGCGAAGTTCAATCATCGCATAGTTGTCAATAAAATGGTGAAGAACATGGCTGTTTTGTTTTCAAGCATGTTTCGGTGGGCATATTGAGTTGTATGCAGAGTATCTATGTATGTATGTATGTATGCATGCATGCATGCATGTATGTATGTATGTATGTATGTATGTATGTATGTATGTATGTATGTATGTATGTATGTATGTATGTATGTATGTATGTATGTATGTATGTATGTATGTATGTATGTATGTATGTATGTATGTATGAATGAATGTATGTATGTATGTTAAAACCAAAACATGATGAGTGACACTGAACCGTCAAACATCAAGTAACAAATGGATTAACACTTTGATTTGTCGTTAATTGCACATGTCGGCATTCAGTTGGATATTTTCCAGCACACAGACACGCAGGAACCGCTGCAACAAGCACGAAATGTGGTTAGTTGCGAAAAACAGTTCCCTGCTGTCGCCTGATCTGACTCTGATCATTTTACATATTGCCTTAAGAAATTTAAGGGTGTTGGGGTCCTAATTTAATTTTTATTACTTTTAACTTAATTCACACTTACACGATAATAATAAACGTTTAAAAATATTACTACGGATAATTCTATCTATTGTAATTAAGTCGTCATTAATGCAGTAAATATTTTATGACGCATTGTAAAATTAATTAGAAAATTAAGGATCTTTTCTAAATAATATTAACTTTGTTACATAGTAAAATTTACGAGGGTTTTCTACAATTGTGTATATATATATGAAGGCTCTGAATGTGGATTAATTAATGATAATAGTGGTAAAAATAATGAAAAGTATTCCTTCTACAAATGGCCAACAAGACGAGCGATATTGGTGACAAGTATGTCACTACGGTTGACCTATATGCCGAGGTAATTAATAAAGTCGTGGAACTTATGCGCGTTGATTTCGATGAAGCTGGAGTAGATTTAGATGTCCTCCATTATGTGAAGACGGAATGGGAAAATAAGTTGGCAGAGTCAAAATGTTTGGATGGAATACCAAGAGCAGCTGTAAACAAAACGTCAACCATTGATGACATTAACTTAATGAATGAGATCATCGCTGACAATGTTAACACTGACCATACCAATTGCATCGACAACATCAGCCAAAAAAACTCCAACTTTTTGCAACATCATGTTGAAAACAACAACAATAAAGATGATCCGAACATTTTACCCCGCTTGATCAATCCAAATGCGCTGCATTCTGGCAACACGAACCAGAATCTTCAAAACAAGAATGCACGGTTGGGCAACTCGAACAATATTCGTCGGATCAATTCAAATGCGGTACCACGCTTGATCACAAACACTGGCTTGAACGTCTCTAACATTTTACCTCCAAACAACAACGTCAACCTAAACAACATTAAAATTAACAGTTCACAAGTTTTGCAGCAACTGTACAGCAACAACACCTTAAACGCGTTGACAGGATCTCACATGATAACAACAATGCCGAGAAACATTAACAACATTGTTCCAATGAACTCTGGCATAACCAACGTAAACAATCCGAACATCTTACCACGCTTAGTAAATTCAAATGCGGTGCGTTCAAATGCACCCTTGTTTCCACGCTCGGAAACCACAAATCAAAACATTCCAATCAAGTTTCCACCCTTGGACAACACGAACCAAAACATTCAAAATTTGATTCCACGCTTGAAAAACACGAACGAGGACATTCGAAACTTGAATCAAAACATTCCAATAAAGTTTACACGCCGCTTGGACAACACGAATCAAAACATTCCAATCAAGTTTCCACGTTTAGACAACATGAACAATGTTTGCCGAATCAATTCAAATGCAGTACCTTTCTTGATCAACGAAGTTAACTCGAACTTGAACAACAGAAACATGACGCCGCGCCTGATCACTAATTCTGGATTGAACGTCTCAAACATTTTCTCGCCTATGAACGACGTCAACCTGAACAGCATCCCTATTAACTCTTTGCAAATCCCGAACAATATTAAGTACTTCCCCAGCTTAAACAACAACATTAACAGTCCAAACCCTTGGCAACCCTTGAACAACAACACCGGTAACAACAAAATAATGAACAGCAACATCTCCTTGAACAACGACATCAACACCGACCTGACCAGCCCAACTGTTTTGCAGCGTTTGAACCTGGGGACACTTGTGCCAAGAAAGAACTTTTTAGTATCTCGTAAAAATGAAGATGAGAGCTCTGAAGTGCTATTCAGAATTGGAGGACAGACGGACGGATCGTGGGACGATTCCGATGATGAAGAGAATGAGAAAAAGGTGTTGGAAGAAATTGATGACCTCTCTGACGATTCTTTGGCTGCAGGAAAGGAAGATTCTGACCCGTTGAACTCAGACGATGACGATGTTGAATATGACGTTGACGAAAATTCTATTGAGAACTTCGTGGCTTGTCAATACATCAAAGTAGTGAAGAACAAGTCCATTTGGAGGGCGTACTTTATGTTCGGCATCATTCACGTGGACGGAAAGGAGGAAGCCTTCCACCAGGCACTGGGTGAAGTTAAATTTTAGAGAGAGCTGAAAGAAAGAGGGTTTCATCTTTATAAAACTCTGATATACCTTATTCAGCCATTTCGAACATCTTTCTTTGTAGGAACAGATCATTAAATTAATGATATGTCCCGATAAAGTTAGATATCATATGAAACTTTCATTTTTTATTTTGTTTTTTTTTGCATTGGTTGTATATAGATATATATTAATCATTTAATACCTTGAACCTATAGTTTTTTTTAATATTTGTCAGTAAGTGCTTTAAATGGTTCTTCTCGTTTAGCTTTTTTGACAACATAAGTTTCTGGTTGTGAGGCTAACATTTTAGAGGAAGTATTTGATGATGTATGTATGTATGTATGTATGTATGTATGTATGTATGTATGCATGTATGTATGCATGTATGTATGTATGTATATTTATAATATGGAAAAGCCGGTAAAGCTGCGTTGAGCATAGAGAATTGGATTGCATGTTACTTATGTTAGCTACCGAATGACTTTGTATGTATATGTATGTATATGTATGTATGTGTGTACGTGTGTATATGTATATGTATGTATGTATGTGTATATACAATATGTTTGTGTATACATGAAGCAAGAGTATTAATATGTATGTATAAATATGCGTATATTACCTTCTTCCTATTGTATTTGTATTTAAGTTTCTTCATCATTCTAACGCTGACAATGTATGATGTGTTGCTCGTTGGTGTTTGTATATTTGTGTATATTTGTATTGGTTTGTTGTTTGTATGTTTGTCTGGTTGCGTGTTTTTGTGTAAGTTTTGTTTGTATTTATTTTGTATATATTAATTTTACGTTTGTACGAGTGCATATGTTTTTGGGGACTTATTGTATAATGTGTGTACGTTTTTGTTTGTCTGTTTGTATCTTTGTATGTATATTTTTTGTATGTTTATTTTTTGTTTTGTTTTCTCTTTAAAAAATATAAAAGTACCCACGTGACTTAATCATTTTCAATTAGAGTCAGGACGTACTTAAGACAATCCTACATTAATCAATAAGACGCCAATGTGTGTGTGTGCTTGCACGTGCACGTGTGCATGTGTTTGTGCGTGCGTGCGTGCTAATAATTGTACATGTTTTGTATGTATGTATGTGTTTCAGTAAAAAGTTTTCCAAAAAATAAATTTGTTACTGTTATGTATGTATGTGTAATGTGTATCTAGAAATGTCTTTCAACAAGGAGGAGACCAGACGAAATGTAAGCAATCGTGATTTTTGTGGACAGGTGGTATCGGAAAGTTCTGTCTCGTCACTTTGGTTTTTTTTCGTATTTTTCCATTTTTTCATCAAAAAATGCATCTTTTTTTCAAAGAGGCCAAAAAATCTGTTGATCCGATTTTTTGGAAATATTGTTACTAACGCCAATTCTGCTTTTACTATTTTTCATCTGTTGCTGCTACTACTACTACTACAACAACAACAACAACAACAACAACTACTACTACTACTACAACTACTACTACAACTATTTCTAATGCTACTCACATTACTACACCTATTATTACTATTACTGATACTACGTTGATACTATTATTGCTACTGCATATAATAATAATAATAATAATAATAATAAATAAGTCTCATCATAATTATCAATAATAAGAATAATAATAAGATGCAGAAGGTTAACGGGAAACGTTAATAAGCTATTAGGTAGAGCCGCTAGATTGGACGGACGCTTGGCCTGGAAACATACAATCAATAATAATAATAATAATAATAATAATTTAATTAATGTGACAATAATAATAATAACTATTATTATTATAAAAGTTATAACATTGCTATATTTGGTAAACATAATTAAAGCGAGTATAAAAACGATTGCGTCATTTTAAGGAAAGGAAAAAGAAGCAAGTCAATTATCGACCAATCAGAGAAAGAGAAGGCAGGCAAAAAAATGGCAGCCTGCAAGAACAAAGACATAAAAATGTGGACAACAAATCAATCAAAGAATTGCTTTGTCTGTCAAACATTTTCAAAAATGTTAGACAGACAAAGCAATAGGTCATTAACAAATCAACATTAGCAGAAAATTATGCCGATATCTTCGTACATATATTTAAATAGATGTGTAGCTACAAAATGGAGTGATGGTTAAGGCGCTTGGTCTTGCAGCTGCAGACCGTGGGTTCAATTGCAGACAGATTCCAAACTATCACATGAAATTTTGTACGATTATTCACATACGCTGTTTGCGTGCATTGTTGAGGATTCTTCACACACAGCTACACACACACACATATACGTACATACACATACATACACTCACACGTACATACACATACAAATATACCAACATACATACATAATACATACATACATACATCATACATACATACATACATACATACATACATACATACATACATACATACATACATACATACATACATACATACATACATACATACATACATACATACATACATACATACAAAAAAATACAAAACAAAAAATGGTACAAAACGTTCAAATGTAATGCTGCAGTAATCTCTCTGCCGATGTTTGATCTATCGACTAAAATCACGTGAGGGAATTTTATTTTTATTCTTATTATTCATCCATACGCAACATCCATTATTATTATTATTACTGTTATTATTTTTTTTTATCTTATTTTGTTTGGTCAATTTATTTTATGATATTGATAGGTCGTTTTGTTGAAGCGAAGCATATCAAAGAATGTGAATTTATATGCAAAGTACATTGAACATGTATGCTCGTAACCATTTCTAACCATTTCGTAAGAGAAAAACAAACAAAATATCAAAAAATTTCTCTTTTTTAAACTCTCCCACAAAGTAAATTAAATAAATTAAAATATTTCAGGCAATATTATATAAAAAGAATTATAATTCAAAGTTTTCGATTTAATATTTTCGAAAGAAATCTTTTTAAATAAAAAATCTTTCACACTTCGTCTGTTTGTGAAAATGGTGCAAAGCTTCATTGGATCAAGAGAGTAGCATGGTAAGCCATTAAAGGCCATGCTGTCGAGATGTCAATGTAATCATGTTCGTTGGTTGCCTAATTGTCCGGCTGTCCGGAAAAGTAATTTCTGATGTTAGCCACAGCATCTAACCCCCATGCATTGCTTAAAAAATTCGGCTTTAGAAAAAAATTCCCCAAAAAATGCGTCACAATTTTCCAATCTATCCAGTCCAGAAAGCATTTGCATTGAAACAATCATCTGTAAGTTAATTACAATTCCATATAGGTATTTGAAGTTCTGCAACTAATGACAATGAACTGACCTGCTACGTTATATTTGCAGTAGCTGGACCTTTGTTATTTACAATGGGTTTACAATCATCATCGTCGTCATCATCATCCCCATCGTCGTCATCATCATTCCCATCGTCGTCGTCATCATCATCATTATTATCATCTTCATCATCATCATCATTATTGATATCCTCGTCATGTTATCATCATCATTATCATTATATTTTCTTAATTATTTTTGTCCTAGATGACTCACTTCATCATCGCCATCATCAAAGGAATGTTATCTTTTTCTGAGTAGAACTTTTGCGTTAATTATTTATTCTTTTCTTAATTGCACATACAACACATACCCAAGCAATTGCACACACACGCACACACACATACAGACACCTACACATAAACATACAAACACGTATTTACATCACTAACATGCATAAAAACAAAAAAACCCACACATACGAACAAACCTACATACAAACAAAAATTCAAACAAACAAATACAAAAAAAAACACACTCACATACAAATATACATACTCATACATCTTTAGATGTATACCCTATACTAACGGGTTCTGTATATACAACACAATAGTAAACTTTTTATATAAAAAAAAATCAAGGAAATGGAAATGGATATTTGTAGAGCATTGCAGACGGCATACAAACACGAGCGTAATTGGATAGCTATGAATGAACTCTTATCAGTCACAACCTAGTAAAGTTATCTTGAAATATATATATATATATATATATATATATATATATATATATATATATATATATACACACACACACATGTATGTATTGTGTGTTGTGTGGGTATGTGCGTGTGTGTGTTCATTTCAGTCCCTTCCAAGTACTTAGTTTTAGCAGTGTATTAATACTTAATTCTACAAACTATCAGACAAACCTTAATTAAAAATGTTTTCATGTTACACTCTTGAAACTTAAAATTGACATTTTAGAATAGGTAGAATAAAATGCACGCACAAACACACACACTGAATACACAAATACACATTCCACAGGCACGTAACATTCCACATACGTTCACACACGTATAGGCACACATATACGCACACGTACGCGCACATACAAACGCATACGCACAAACACGCAGTTAACCATCAAATAGCAAAATATTGATCTACCCTCAATATTGGCAAATGCCTTTGTTCGTCAGAATCTCTCTGCTCACTTTCTCTCTCTCTTTTTCTTTTTCTCTTCCTTTTTTCTCTCTTTCCTTTACTCTCTTTTTCTTTTTCTCGCTAAGAAGTTAACACCTGGCCATCAACTCGCGATGAATGACGGAAGAGAAAAAATGTATAAAAGAATAAAAAATGTTAAAAACCAAATTAACACCCACATTATATATACATATAAATAAATATATATATCCTTATATATCCCTTTTACAGGAATATATATATATCTATATATTCCTAAATATCTTTTTTCCCACAAAATTTATATGATTAATAGAAAAGCAATTGAAAAGATTTTTCTAATCGTGTGATCGAAAAAGCAGCCAAGAAGTTTTATTTTAGAAACTTAGTCCTGCGATCTATAAAAGTATTAAGAAAATTATTTTTTTTTAAATGGAGTCCATTTGAAAAATATTGTGCTAAATAGTATTTTTAGAATAAGTTAACTTTAATAACACTCTGGATTGTTTCACACTCTGATAAATGACAAATACAGATAAACACAAACACTGATAAAGACAGCCTTTTAAAACTCCGGTATGTATTTTCCAGCCAACTATCGTATGAAAGTTGAATATAAAAATTGTAAGAGAACACCAAACCAAGAAAAGCGGTGAGCAGAAGTGAAAAGAAGAAAAGAATATTTTTTGTTTGGATAGGCTGGACACGTGTTTCCTCCCACCATGGACTCATCAGCAGCCCGAGTACCTATCAGAATCGTATTATATAGCCCGCGCAAATCACTTCGTTAGTTCGTGCTGTGGATTGTTAGTTTTAATCGTTAAGATTTGCAATCCGACAAGGAGGGTTTTAAAATTTCACAACTTCGCTAGCGAATTTACATTCTTAAATTTAGTTATCTGTACCTTAACCATTGCCAAAATAGAACAATGCAGAGGTGTTGTTCTTTTTTATAACAATTGAGTGTTTCTAATTTCTTTGTATTTTAAATTTTAACGAAGTTTCGAGTTGATGATAAAAATTTGAATACGACTAAAATTAATCAACTCGGATTTATTTTTTTTTTTTTACAATCAAATAACAAGGCGTTAGCAATCCTATTAGCACGACGACGTCCAGTAAGCAGCCTGTCCCCTTCCATGTGTTTTACATTTATACTGATGCATATCATGTTTTCATTTCAAGTCCCGACCAACCAACTAAACTCAAACAGTTTTGGCTAATAATTTATTTTATCTATTTACATTTTCAATCCATTATTCATATTTAAACATGCACAAATTAACGTCAATCAATATATGAAATATTATTTGCATATAATTATATCGCAATGAATATAATAATATCAAATGAACAGCCATAGTTTAGCTCAAAGAAATTTCAACAATTAATCAAACATACATCTGTAGAAAAATAATAAAAATAATAGTAATAATAATAATGGTAATGTAATGTTTTTCCATTTAATTCATGCAACTGTTCAATGCAAATGAAAAGGTAGTCTCGGAATGGTTTCGTTAAAAAAAGTGGTTTCGAATTAAACAAAGAACTACCGTATCAAATCTATCAACCATTCAACCAGATACAGAATGATCAGCCACCAGTGAACAATCATCATTAATATAACCACCACCACCAACATCATCATCAGTATTATTATTCAAAACAAACAAACTAAACTCATTAATTAATTAATCTACTGATCAACCAACCAACCAGCCAACCAACCAAATACTATTTCAACCAACCAACCAACCAAACAATCAGCTGATCGATCATTAGTTAAAAAGTTGTAAAATGCTAATTTTCAACGACAAAATATGTATGTATATCAATAAAATGTGCACGTTTTAAAACACAGAAATACATATGTATGGTATATATACACACTTTGAAAGCTGAGAGAATATTAAACATTAAAAACGAATAAACGAATGAATGAGTGTAAAAAGAATGAAAGCAGAATGAACGAAAAAAAGAAAAAAATTAGAACCAATCATCATTATCACAATCGTTATCATCATTATCATCATCTTCCGTCTCATCATCATCATCGTTCATTTAATCTCCATAATCATGACCGTTAGAATCATCATCATTATTACAAATATCACAATCCTCATCGTCGTCGTAACCCCCATCATCATCAGCATCCTCATCTTTGAAGAGCTTGCAGCATCTGGTTATGTTGGTGCACGTTGTTGCATTTCTCGAGATCGTTGTTGTTTCGCTTCTTTGTCAAGTTTTCCTTCCCAAGTTCCTTCAAGAATTTTATGGCTGCCTCGAAACTAAAATCGTAAATAATAATAACAATAAAATAATAATAATAATTATTATTATTATTATTATTATAAAAATGTTATTGCTTACAAATCTTTTCTCAAGATTCCTCAAAGCCATATGGCATGCAATAAAGCGGGAAGGAATTTGAACTTTATATCCGCAAAATAACATTTTGAAAAACAAGAATTTAACAAAGTAACGAGACACTATTCGAGATTTACATTTGAACCAAGGCACTGCAACATCAGTGCCAGACACCTTAACCGCTGAGCCACGCAGATAGTTAAAAAACTCACTTAATCTATTCAATTTAAAACCTGCCCATAATGTTTCTAATGGCGTTGATTACAACAGTAGGTACAACATTTGTTTGAAGTGTCGATTAAATTTGCATGAATGAACGTTTTACCCGCAACGCGCACGACGAGCAGCAGTGATCTCCTTGCATTAAAACCCGGCTACTGCGATAGGAGATCAGGCGCCCTTAACCATTGCACCGCTCATTATTACCACAACCCTCATCAATGCTATGGATATCAATTATAGGTGTGGATGGTAATAAAAAGAATAATAATAATAAATGATAATAATAGAAATAAAAACAAATAGTAGTAATAGTATTTATCTTGCTTGCCTCGATTCTCTGTGTTTTCTTATTTTTTCTTCGTTGCTTGTCGTTTCGTTTCTTGCAGCCTGTTCTTGCAGTTGAAGCTGTGGCTGTTGTGGCTGTTGTGGTTGCGTTATTCGCTGCTGCTGTGGTTGCTCTAGTTGTTGCTGCTGTGGTTGTTGTTGTTTCGTTGAACATTGCTGTAAATTTTGGTGTTTATCTCGTTGTTTTTGTTGCTGTTTGGGCGACTGTTGTTTTGACTGTTCGTTTACTGGATGTTGATGTTTTTGCTGATATTGTTGTTGTTGTCTAGATGATTGATTCTGTTGTTGCAATTGTTGTTCGGATGAGTGTTGTTGCGGCTGTTTTTGTTGTTTTTCTTGAAGTTGATGTTGTTCTTTTTTGAGTGACTTCTGTTGTTTTGATTGTTGTTGAAAGTTGTGCTCCGGATGAAGTGGTTTTTGTGGTTTAGTTTGCTGTTGTTGCTGACCGTCACTTTGATGTTTTTTGTTCTGTTTTTCTGAAGAGTCTAATTGTTGTTGTCGTTGCTGCTGTTGATGCTTTGTAGGAGTATTGTAATTATTATTATTATTGTAATTATTATGTTGTTGTTGTTTTAGGTTATTATGCTGATATGCTTTATTGTCAAGTTGTTCTTTCTGACGATGTTTTGGATCTTTCTGTTGTTGTTGTTGCTGCTGCTGTTGTTGTTGTTCTTTTTTATCTTCATGTTGTTGTTTTTTATCTTCACGCAGTTGTTGTTCATTCTTATCATTATCTTTATGATGTTGTTGTTGAATCTTATTCTCACGCTGTTGTTGTTGCTGTTGATTCTTATCCTCGCGCTGTTGTTGTTGTTGGTGACGATGGTTTTCAGCTTTTTGTTGATGATGCAGTTGTTTCTGTTCTTTACGTTGTTGCTGCTGCTGTTGTTGATGTTTCTGAGCGTCAGGTTGTGGCTGTTGTTGCCGATTTTGTTGCGACTCTAGTCGTAAAGGCTGCAATTGTGGCTGCAGTTGCTGTTGCTGTGGTTGCTGTTGTGGCTGCTGAGGTGGTTGCTGTAGTTGCTGTTGTGGCTGCTGCTGTGGTTGCAGTTGTTGGTGTGCCTGTTGACAGCGTGGAATATTCTGCAAAATCTTGGGAATCTGAAGTCTGTATTGTACCTGTGGTTGAACTTGTGAAGATTTTTGTAAAAATTGT